TTATAATTCTTTTCAAAGAACAACGAAATTTAAGGCTGATAAAATACGCTTAAAACTCAAAGATTTTGAATTATTGATTCCATTTAAGTTCCTTAAGCAAGAATCTAAAGTAACAAACATTAGCGTGAACCCTGTGAAATCATAAGTTTTCAACTGGAATTTAAAGCTGTCTGAAAGCATTTAGTTCAAATATAAGGAAAACTTTGTTCATTAAATAAGAAATCAATATCCACCAGATAGAATCTGGCTAATCAAAACCTTTGACAGCGCTTAACTTGTTCCCTTTATTATAAATGTTTATTGCCTCGTTCAGGTCAATTTTAGCGATTTTCCTCTATGTTATATTTCTCAAACACACACAGACACGTTATTTGAAATGCTTTATTAAGTTGGAAAGTGGGTCAAGCCAGATTCGAGGCGACGCTACGAAATATTGGATAATTTAAACTAACTTGCAGTGATATCCATCAAACTAAAATTAATATTTTGCTTTGGTGAGTAAACGCGGAAGTTCTAATTCAGAATGTAGTTAATAGTTGCCAGTACAAGTATGTGAGGTTTAAATTTAATTTAAATTACACGCTTTGTACTGGCGGCCATTAAACAGTGTTCTACGTAACGATGAGACAAAACGATAAACTATAAACGATAAATAAGGCAATTATTATTTTCTTGGGATATTGCCTGAGTACCGGAGTTAATAGTTCTTTATGCTAAGCAATAAAAATTGATTTTTACATTATTTATTATGCTTATTATACGGAGTAATTTAAAATCATCGTCACTTGCTTGGGAAGTATGAGACACATTATTTTTTTCTTTCATTTATTTGTCCATGATAAAGAATTACTAATAACAACTTTAACGTGTTTTTTTTAGGTAAACTTTAGAAGCAACATTAATGAATACTTTAAGTAAAATCACTCGTTTATGTTTTTTGATAAGAAATAACTTTTTTATAATGAACTTTTTACAATCCTTCCAGTGGAATGACGAACATATTTTAATCACTATATACACAAATAATAGTAAATAAAGTGATAAAACAAACCCTATAGTTTCGGAAATGTAAAAAGCGAATACGTAATAAATTGGATGTTATTGCAATTCTGTTGGCTATTAAACGTTTTATTTTACACGGAATGTCACATTTTTGAATCATTGGAATTTTCAAGGCAAATATTATGAGAGTTTTTTAATTATTAATTATCCAAGTGTTCTAAAATTGTATACATTTATATGCAAATTTATCATAATAGAATAATTTCAAGATAATTAATATTCATATATAGTAGATATACATTTTTAGTGTTGACTCGTAGCTAATAACTGCACAAAGCAAATTTGCCGCGTTATTCATCAGCGGCTAGTTTGATTCATATCGTTTTTGGCAATTAATTTATTCATAACTTATTTTAAGTTAATTCACACCTAAATATTCCGGACATGTTTTAAAATGGTGGATAATTTTCTTCTCAAAGACCTCTAGTTTCCCTTGCTAGAATTGCCAATTTACCATTTAATTGCAATGAAACTTACAGAAGTTGGTTGTATTTAAATTGCAATTGTTGTGTCTGAAGCATAATTTTAATTATTTGTATTAATTGAAATAACAAGAAGCAACTCACCAAACGTGTGATTTGACTGATTCTTTTCTGTTAAAATGTCTTTTGTTTTCATACTTTTTTTTATATAGATACAATGTTATTCACGATTATAAAACAGTTCTTTCAGTGATTTATTGGAACAGACGAATTTTTTAAGTTTCTCTTGCTCAAAAACCTTTTTCGCTTTAAATGAATATTTAAAGACTTTAAGAAGTTAAGTCGAAAAAAAAACAACATAACAACTGATAAAATGCTTCAAATTTGAACATCACAGAAAAGCAGTGGTTTTGTGTAGAAAGTGATAGTCGAAGATGAGAAATTGTGTCGCTGGATAAAAAGTCTAAAGCTTCTCCTTGGGGGAAAAGTAGACGCCCACTCACAGTTTTGAAGGGTTCGATTACATTCGTCTTTTATCTAAATTAACTTTGGATTTTCAGACGTTTTTTTTTAATTAAAAAGTGTTCAATAACAAAGCAGTTTTTTGCAGTAAAAAGTTCTCATGTTTTAACTTGTAGTTACCCATTCAAAAAGTTTTTATCTTTATCATTCTCAGGAAGTTTCTTAATTTTTGTCAAAAACATGCCAAAAAGTACACATTTAACCGGGAATTTGAAGTAAAGTGTATTTTATGTATTCGAATATTTAACTGAAGCAAAAGCTTTTCAACTAAAGTACAATAATTCAACAACAAAGAACATTTCAAAAATTATTTTTGGATTCCGAAAGATCGTCATACGATACATTTTGAGAATAACCCAAGCAATGTATGTAGATGCTAAAACAAAGGCAATATTGTGTATAAAATCAATACAATTATTTCTGATTGCAGTATTGGCCCTGAAATGCCAAAATATATAATAATTACAAGAATTTGCAGTTGTTCATTTATACGTTTTGATCGTCAGTATTAAATTAAACCCGTGTGGTTTTAGCACGTCGATAATTTTATATTTTTCGCCAGTTTGCGTTATTATTAAAAGTGTTCCATTCCATTCCATGAAAATGGATTGTCTTTAACTATAAAAAAATTAATGCAATTTAGCTCTCAAGGAGAAACAGTTCGGTAAAGTATTTTTCAATTACTTTCTCACATTGTTATGTAACTGTTCTTAAATTGCAACTTTTATAAATGTTCAGTAAGCATCACGAGTCATTATATTTCTAAATCACCTCATCTGCCATAAGCGCCTGAAGAAAACGTATGTAACTAGCAGGAAGGAATAATTCCAAACGTAGGAGGGAAGGAATCTGCGCCCCTTTTATCTCATTTTTGCCGACAAATAAATTTATATAATGGAAAGCACAATTACTGAAGCCATCCTTTGGCCCTTTTGGGTGTTGAAAATTTCATTTTGTCCAATGCATTTTTCATTTACATTCAACATTGTTCGTGTGAGATGTCTAGAGAAGTAGATTAAAATACTCCAGTAAAAATAGCTCTCAATCAATTAATAACTACATACAAATCAATAGACTTGAAGGGTATTTTGTGCTAATGTAAATGCTACTATTATTTCCTGCAGTTGCTTTATACAAAATAAGGTCAGACATTAATCAAAATTTCCATGTTTAAACTAAGAGAATTATTTTCCATTGCTAATCAAGCACTATTGTAACACGGAAGTTCATTTCCAATAACCGAACACACTAATTAAATGCTTAAACTGAACTATTTATTTGGCATTTGGGAATATGCAGCATATCGTGTTGTTACTGCACCTAAATCATTCCATGGAAATTGAGCTTAAAATATTCGTTTTTAAAAATGATGCGCTGCTAAAATCAGTTACTGCGACACCATTTTGTATTCTATATTTTCTTTAATGCTAAATACGATATTCCAACAACGGCAAGTGACAAGTGAAAAACAGCGTTTTTGTTGTTTGTTTAAAGATTGAACATTCTTCACATTCTACACTATCCATCCTACAAGTTATTTAACTAGTTCAGGCTCACAATGTTTATTTTGCAATGTTTTATACTAAACACGTACTATTTATTTGTGGGAGGTTGTATCTCAGAGAGCACAAGGCCTATTGAACAACACTTCTATTTTTATTACGTAAAGTAGTTTATTGTCCATCGGAGATATCTCTGGGTCTACTAATTATGAATGCAGTTTTATTTAAAGAATTAAACAGCCTGACGTAAATTACGTTTGTAAACTATCAGCTACACATTTTATTCTGTACAAACTTGAGTATAACAATGGATTTTATTACTTGCCACGAATAAATGTTTCGCTTCAAAATCGTTATTTTGCCCGGAATACCCCACTTGGTCTAACAATACTCGTATTATTGCTTTCGTAGAAATCGCTCGTCATTCCAATAAACTTGCAAATTAATGTGTTTATTTAAGCAAAAATAATTGCCACACCATAAATTGTTTTTGTTATAATGCAACGATCTCTGCAACTTGGAAATGAATTCGACTTTTAGTTTAGATTAGCATAATGTAATATGAGTATTTGCTAGTCGCTATTAAAAAAATCTGATCAGCATTTCTCATCATCCTGCCATAATAATTTAATAAAAGATTTGAGAAAGTTATTAGCTTGGTATGTAATAGTATATTTTTTATAGAAACAGGTTAGAGGGGAATTAATGGGAAAGTCTAATTATAGAACAATATTTAATTAAACCAGATGTTTCGAGCTAATATTGGCGATATCGACCTCTACTGCCGGTAGCCGATAGAACTTTCAACAAAATATTTACACAGAATTCAGGGAAAACTTCCGAACTTTTATTTCCTTTCTTAAATTATTAACCGTGATACTTTAATATTTTAAAGGCACTTTGATACTGAAATTGCAATTAATTTTATAACAACGCTTCTAACACAGTGTGTTCATAGTGAAAGGTACAAATCTATTTAAAATTTACTAGCTCGGACGTGTAGTCATTGATTTTATTTTTGATGTCATGCAATATTGTAGTCTGCCATAAAGTTATTAGTCTTTGGCATAACAGCAAACAAAATAATGCAATAACACCCTAATTATTAATAACTGTAGCATTAGTTTAAAAATGGGTGAATGTGTAGCCCATTCAACTCAATAGATGTTGTTAGTAGTTAATTACTTTTCCATTATCATTAATCTAAGACATTTTTACAAGTTGAACAACTAATAACATCAACAAATACAAACCTGTCGCAAAGCAGAAACAGGTTTGTAGTAAATTTGTGAATCGATTTAATTAATTTAGTTTAGTGAAACATGACATATTTTAATTTAGTGAAGAATTAGAAAATTACATAACTTTCCATTTTTTTATTATGCTATTTTGTATCTCGCTTTTCACGCAGTATACATTTATAGAAATGTTTAAATTATATAAATTAATGTTGAATTTCAGTACATAATTGCAGTACTAATCAAAGAATGGATCTAAATGGAATTTTAATGATCTTTATACACAATATGTTTGGACAACGGATTTATAGACAAAATAATGGATCAATTCAAAGCACATCATTAATTTGACTGAAGACCCATTAAATTAAATTATTTAAAGCATATTTCTAATAAACGTTTTGAAATTGATTGCGGAATTATTCCGATAGTGTGCGCATTCATGGATAATAAAAATGTACATTATTCAGGAAAACCCATACGCTATTCGATTAATTCGGTTTGTATCCTATCATTTAAATAATTACATTTGGCCGATAATGTTAAAAATAGAAAACAAACTAAATAGTCTGGGACTTTCATTTGACACTTAAAATAACGTACTTTAGTTGCTTCGAAACCTTGGACCTGAGGCGAAGGTCATGTTAACTAACAGTCTAGTGCAGTTGAGAAGTTATTTCATAAATTATGTCTTGAGCGACATTCCTTCGAGGATAATCAAGTTCTTATTAATGTCTAGTGGTGTAATTAATAAAAACAAGTAAAACAGAATAAATTCGCAAATTCTGTTGAAATCTGAAAGAATTAATTATTGCAAAACAGTCTTATGAAAAAGCAATGGTTTATATACATTTTATAATTTTCAGAAATCAAATTATCCATTAGTTAAGTGAAATTTCTACCGGCTAATTACATCTTTTAAAGGTACTTTTACCACAACATAATTAATCGATACATTGATAGCTTTACATTAAAAAGCACTTATCTAATTTTTAAAGTCGTATTGATAAAATTTATTAAAAATCAAATTGCCTTATTCTCTTTACAAAGAACCGGCTAAACAAAGCCAAAACACAAAGCACTTGCATTTTAGCTGATTAAGTAGTCATTGCGATGAAATATTCAAAACTCAATTCGTTTGGCGTGGTGCAGGTAGGTGAAGCCCAAATCTCCATTTATTTTATGACAAAGGATTTTTAGATTAACGGTTCCAGTGCCTGCATAGATACTTTATGCAACATTATTTCGATTATTTTCCAATCTGAAAAAATTCAAGTAGCTCAGGCAATTTAATCCATTATCTATAATCTAGTGCGTTTTTCAAGGAACATTTTTTCACTTATCATTGAATGTTTTCGTAATTTATCATATTTTTAGTCAGCTCTGAAAAGTCGAAATATCAAGTGAAATAGCTTAATAAAAATAGCTCCAGCGATTACAAAAAAATCGCAACAAATTTGAATGTTATTTGGTACTGGAATCTTGAAATCACTCCACACAAAGGCTAATTAGTTGATCTTTTTCTCTACTCAATGCTTACAATGTCATTGTTTTATCATCGTTTATTTTTAAATTTGACTGAAAATACTAAGGTCAAGAATTCAGTTGAGTTGCAGCGGACTCTTACTCTGGTAATTCGGAAATGTTCATGTTTTAGTGAAGAGAAACTAGTGGTTGTTTACAAATAATCCTACTTACAAGGTTTTTATTCTTATTGGTAAAGTATTTCTTTATTAAACCCAATCATTCATTCACTGGTATCAAATCCTCTAAATATTCCAAATTATTTATGTTGAAAAGTTTGCGTTTTTTTGGAACGTCCTGCTCGCTGGTTTGCATAGTTGGATTATTGGCAAACGTCTCGTTGCTGCATTTACTTGACCGTTTTTGTGCAGATAAAGGATTATAGTGGCTTTTTAAAGAAGTTCGTTTAGGAAGTGAAGACACGTTACCAGTAGCCGTTTTGTTTGATTTGTTCTCCCACTTCGGTATTATTATTTGGCTATCATCTTTTTTGCATTTTGGTCTGGAGGGTTTGATGCTTCCTATTCGTTTACTTGAACGAATGATATTCGTACAACTACTTTTAATATGTTCTTTCATGGTGTTTTTCCGTGTGTTAATGTCTCGGTGGATTTCCAGGCTTTCTTGAGTAATTGCTGCGATTTCCGTACCAACATCCGAGTAACTGGATATTTTATATTCATTATTAATCGTTTGACTTGCCCTTTTAAGGACGCTTTCAGATAAACAAGATCCTGTTTGCTGATTCTCTGCCTCGTGTGCAGGCATTTTTAGATTTTTATTATTCCACTTGTTCACCTGTGCCTGATTAAACTTCGCTGAATTTTTATTGCATTTTAGGGTTTCAAAACTCAGCTGGGCTTCGGCGCAAGGCAAATCTGGCTTCTTACCATGTACCTGTACATTTCCTTCATTATTATCTACATTCTTTGTCGATTTTTGTTGGGCATTTGAAGAATCAAGATCGGCGGCAAAAACATCTTCTAGTTGATTCAGTTGGAAAAATTGCAATTCCTGTGCTCCAGCATACATATTTTGAGGTCTCACTACTGCCTGTAAAGACAAAAATTGTATTTATTAATTAATTCCTGCAAGTTAGCAAAACATTTCTGATACATTCCTAAGAAGAAAGTGTGTTATCCTAAATACGTTCAAACCCATTATCGAAAATGTAAATTTAATTAAATAGACTCAGCGTGCCAGCCATTCCCAGTCGAAAAAAATCATTAAGGTGACAGTTTAAAAATAAAACAAAACCTATCATGTACCTGTTGTCGTCTTTCCAAGTCGTCAATCTTAATTTGCACTTCCTTAGCTATATTTTGTTGCCTCCAGATTTTCGACTTCAAATCGATTAGCTCACGTCGAAGCTGCGTCTCCATTTCATCCTGCTCTAGATCCATAGTGGCTTGAACAAGTTGCAACTCGTTATTAAGATGTTCCACTGAAACAGCAGCGAATGGAATAGTTAGTTGTTGGTATTTGATTTCGGGGCATGTACATTTACCATTGCGTTTATGTTCGTTTTTTCTGTTTTCAATCTCCTCACTTTTAAGTTTTAAGTGTTTCATTTCTGGTTCTTCGTGTGCTTTGGATTGTTGATCATTTTTTAATTGAAATTCCTCTCTTTCGGCAGTTACCCTCATATCAAGATCTATTAGTTTAGCTTCAAGTGTGTTGATTTCTCTATATGTGGTATGTAATTTTTCTGAAATTAATATTTTAAGTAATATTCTATTTTTAAACATTTTACTTTGATTTTGTGGCTAATTGTTGGTTTTTAAACCTGCTACAGTTCAATTATTGATTATTACCTTTTAAGTCTACGTAATTGGTAACAACATTCGAAGATCCTGCTGCGAAAAAATCGGTTAGTTGTTGATGCAGTTCTCGATTGTCTGCTCGGCGCCCATCCAGTTTGTTCTCCATTTGTTCAATCCGTTTCCATATGTTTGCTAATTCCATTTTTTCATTACTCTAAAAAGTGTAAATAAAATGCGTTATTTTTCAGTGTTAATTCCAGCACGGTTTTTATTTGATAATATAATCAGATCGGTTTTGAAAACGACCTTTTGACATTGTTTGCTTGGGGAAATTGTTTTGTGTTTCACTTTGTTTTCGATAATTTACCATGTCTACTTGGAAAATATAATAACTGTTAGCTGAGCAACATCCTTTTTTCTATAAGAAATTGGGATTTAAACGAGAGTAAGTAGCGATTTAAAAATTCGCCCATCATTAGAAGAACTAAAGATATTGAAACTTTCTTTCTTATAATTCCAGACAAGACAAAACATGTTGTAATACATTTATTGACAAATCGCGTGAAGTTTTAGAAACAAGTGGAGCACTTTTCTTGAAATCCATACGAACGTATTTATTGCACCGATAACTTTTTCACCGTCATTTACATGTTTCCAGATATAATTATGGAAAACAAATTAAGTAAATGTTGTTTGAAGACAAATAAGTGAAAATGCGATAGACACAAACTAAGAAAATCGGTGGCAACACAACTTACGGAATGTTCCGAATTGATTGACACTCAATTTAACGCATTTTCCGATTTCCCAACGGCATAGAAACGAGGGCCGACATCGCGATTTGCCAGATCAATGTATTGCTTCTCGACGCAAAATTATAAATATTGATTCGAATAATTTTTTTGCTACATCTTTGCCTTATTTATACATTCATTGAAAGAGGATTTAAGCGGCTATAAATTTGTTACCATTGACTACACGCCATCCATGTAGCAATTGTTATAGAGCTCAGTTTACAACAAACGTATAAAAATGGATTGAACAAGGTAGATTCCCTGTACATTTTTCTGGTAAGAAATAAATTACATTCGGAAGTAACAAGGACGGTTTATTGAACGTGATGGACCGATACAGTGGCCTACCAGATCGCCAGACTTAACAGCACCGGACTATTTTAAATGAAGGTATTTTATTGAAAGAGATTATGGAATGTAATGAATTACGCTCAGGGATATGGAAGAATTGTGTTTGTTTGTGCCACTATTACGCTGGTATGTCGTTAACAATCAAGTCTGCGGCTAATTGGGCAATGCTTTTAAGTCAAGATTTCCGGTATAAATTTGAAATATTTAATGAATTGTTGTGGTTTAAATGTGCCTTTGTTATTATGCATCTAGCGCTTCCGGATAATTAATTATAATTGCCGTTCGTTTTTGAAAAACCACATTCAATCGCATTTATTTTGGAGAAAGGTTCCGTCCTGTCGAGGAAATGCGGATGAATCGAGTGAAAATCTTTATGACGTTGTGATGCAGCATAAATTATACACACTTGGTCTTGCTTGCCAGATCAAATCTGCATAATTATATCGTACCAAGGTAGGCGCATTAATCTTTATAATAGTTATAAATCATAATAAGATGACAATAGACAATGATAAAATTGTACGTTAAACAAGAGATTATGTTTTACGTTAAAATCGCAGGTTTTCAAAAAATAGTATTACTCAAACACTATAAACTCTGATTATAAAAATGATTCTCACATTTTACCAAGCGCTTAATTAATCGCACCTTTAAAACATGCGATTTGCAATAGCAAAAAAACGAAATATGAATATTTCATAAATCAAGTAAATTAAATTTAGTTGCTAACTGTAAAATACATTTTGCATACGTGACGTAAATAAAGCATTGCCATGCGATTATTTAATTTCAAATACATTTATTCGTCAATCTACCTATCAAATAAAATTAATTTTGTCGTTGGAAACGCGATTCTAATCACGCTAATTAGTTATTGTTTCAAACTTTTCAAAACAGCTTAAATTGCAAAATTCAATGAAACGGGCCATTAAATGAATCACATCAAGACAAAAAAATCTTCATAGATTTATAATATTTCATATTATTATTTGAATTTAGGATATTTCGACATTAGGAGGCCAAACAGATATTGAAGTCTGCTTTGGAAGATAATATTACATAATTTGTAAATAGACATACAGGGTGTCATGTACAGTTAAGTACTTCAGAAGGTGATTCTCTGGATGTTTATATAAGTTTAACTAAATGCGTCGTTTTCACTTTTATTTTAAACGGAAGTAAGAAAAAATGTTGTTTTTTTTTGTAAAAACTTAATGGTTTTTGTGGCTATTCATGACAGTGAAGAGGAATTTGTAAGAGTAAGTTTTAAAGTTTCTCTAAATAGGCTAAAATTATTAAACCCAATAACGTCCCGAAGCACAACTTTTTTCGTATTTCCCGTCGTTTTCGCGATAATTAGTAAGAACCACCCTGAAGCTTGGGTATGTATTTAAATAACACCCTGTATGTCGAAGAAACCGGTGCTTAAAAATAATTAGAATTAAGAGTTAAGTGTGCACAAATAAGAAAAATAAAAACAGTGCTATGTTTATTTCCATCTATTTTTTAATTTTAAAATAGTTAAATAATTTACCATTAATGTAGTCATTTCGTTGGAATATGCTGCGCTTTAGCGACTTAATTTCAAGAACTAATTTTACAGAATTTGTACAAAAAAAATTGAAAAAAAAAGGAAATTAAAAAAATATATATTAAATATTTTACTTAATGTCAAAATTATTGAAGTACCAAAAATGTACATTTTTAAGGTTCAATCAACAAGGTTCAGAAATAAATAGCTAAAAAAACAACTGCAAAAACATTTGCGGGCATTTCTAAGGGGGCGTGGCTCCGATGGAATCATTTTTATACACGTTTATTTAAAAATGTTCATGCCATTATTATTTTCGATAGAAGATTTCACTGTTTCGTGCAATTTATTATGGAATTCACACAGAAATTGATTAAATAATGTTAATGCATTTGCAAATGCCGCTACTTCAATGTAGATAATCACCAATTCACCATCAAATGAGTTTGACAGTTGTGTTTGCGAATTCATTGAAAACTTCTTGTACTAATTTATGCACCCAGTATCTTAATTAATAAATACCTGTTTTAACATTTTATATATTTTGTAATTTTTTAGTTTCACTTTCACTCGCCGCCGAACAGCACAAACACATCAAATGTGACAGGAAAATTGATGGTAGTGACGTTAATTTGACATGCATAGGCGATTAGATCCAGTAATTAACATTTATTTTCTCCCATCTTGTTGTCGATAATATAGGATTCTTGTTTGCGTCGAACTAATTATTTTAATTAATCACTATGTAAACACTATACAGAGGATACGAGAAATATTTACAAACGGGAGCACAAGCAAAAAAGTAGTAAAGTAGGTGCTATATTTCTGACGTCACAAAAAACAAAAACTACTACTTTTGAACTTCTGTCTAAAGTTTACAGAGCTACGAAATGAAATATTCAGACGCAGTTCCACCAAATGTCAGTAAATCCATAATTAACTAATCGCAATATTTATTTAATCAGCCGTTTAAGTAATTATTAAATAGCCTTGCGCTCCACCGCAATTAGTTCCGATTATCTAATCGTAAGTAACTTCGGGCAATATCGGGGTTTTTTAAATCCATGCTTCTGGTTGGTCCTAATACGGTTGTCAGGTTAGGGTTTGATTAATCTAATGACAATTTACTGAAAAGTAAGGTTTTAGTAAAAAATAATAATAAAACGGAGACGATGAGAAAATATCACCATAAAACAAATCAATTCCTGGTCTCAGTTTAAAAGTCAAAGGCTAATTATTTGAGATTATTTTTCAAATTAATCAGTAATTATCCTTATTAACCAGTCACTTTTAAGCAGTTTAGTTAACCATTGGTTAAATGTCCTTAATACTGATTAAAATGATGGTTGAACACAAAACGTTGATTTAATAGATTTAACCGGCCCTACCAATCTATCTGAAGTTAGAGAATTATTAATTTTTCAAACACCTCGGTATGACTGTTTTCTTGCTAAAAATAGCAGTGAACTCACAATTAAATGGAAATTTTCTGGGGTACTTATTTTTCATTTTCAAGCGGAAATGAATTATTTCCATAAAAGAATCCAAGTTCGCATCAATGTCCATTATTTCTGTGAATGTCTCCAATTAACGGGATTTCAGGACATTTTTTACAGACGGGAATGAGCCAGTAATTTAATCAATTTGACGTTATAATTGGACTTTACCGACTAGTGTTCCAGTTGAATTTCACATATACATACCTACATTACTGTTTATGTAAATGTTTTATTTAAAAATTATAGGCTTTTCCGTTAGCATGTGTCTTTATCGTTCGACACGCAGAGCTTCATCCGACAGTTTTGCATTAATTCGCTAATATTACATTTACAATTTAATTATAAATTAACGCCCGTAAAAGATAAATTATTTCACATCGTTTTAAATTACCTTCTCTTCGTTTCATTTTGAAAATTACAGTTTAGGCTCATTAATATAAATTTGTCTGCAGTGGCGTAACTTTAGAACATACGGCGATACTTTGCAGTCAACCCTAATTAAGCTAAACAATTCAGAAAATCCTGTGTGTGACATGATTTTTCTTATTAATCTGTTTTCAGCGCCATCTGCTAAATTTATTTTAATTTAATTTAATATAAAAACGCCATCAAGTTCTTCAATTGAGATTTTTCAACTGTTTATAATACGTTTTCCGCCAGCTACTTAAACGATTCATTTCACCCCTCAGTGCATTTTTCGATTCATTTACGCTATTGTGTGTTTGCTTTTAAATATGATTTGTAAAGCATCCCCACAAAGAAGTCTGGTGGAGTTAAATCAGGCGGGGCGGACTTGCAGGTCACGAATAGGGTGAAAAGCATATTATTGTAATGGAGATGCCGGTATTATAGTAAATTAATTATATTACTAGTGGCTGAGGTTTGTTACTTTTTGCTTCAATTTAGCTCTTAACTGAAGAATTGCTCATAACTTGGATTTTAGATTTGCCGAAAAATAAAAGGTGCTTCTTGCGGTATATTCAATTGTAATCCTGAATGATGGTTTTATGAAACGTATAAAATATCTCAATGTGGGAGCAAACGAGCGCTTGGCGCTATTTTAAATATAGACAAAAATTAAGGTGTTACCCACACTTGACACACTAGACAATTTCTTATTTAATTTATAAAACTTTCAAATTTAAGACAGAAGGGTCGTAACCGGGTTAACAAAAGATGCGTTTTGCTTATAGATAAACGATTTTATTAAGTTTCTGGTTAAACAATGCATGTGCAACATCCGATATGCGGTCTAAAAAGTTCCCCAGCCAAGAACGGACTAAAAATGACAAAGCTGGAAATGTGAATTTTTATGTTAGTTTGTGTTAGTTTTACAATGTGGCACACACAAGTTCTTTTTATAGCCAACCTTTATTGGATTAAATATGAAAATAACAATAAATCGCATCGTCAAGGCCATACACATAAATAGAAAATTGTCTTGTTTTATTATTCACAGAGTTTTATGATACGTTGTTGTTGATAAGTTTCCGTCAGTTGAAATTTATTTGGTTGGTCATGTTCACTCGTATGAGACTAAACGGCAGGTTAAAATTCAATGTACTTCTTTGTGGTCAGTTTGAAATAAATGTACATATCGCGATGTTTCGTTGTTTAATTTGAATATGTCCACTGTACGTAACGTGTTGTTGGTAATTACAAAATAAGACGCACTTAATTTAATAATAAAGTAGAAAGGTAAACAATAAGTTTCTCCTACAAAAACATGTTTGTTTATTAAAAAGCTATATTCAACCATGTGAATTCTGGTATTCGGGGTGGTACAAACAAACGGCTGTACCTCAATTTATGGTGAATTTATTTGAAAAATTCGGACTTTTCAACTTTGTTTAAAAGAGTTGAGTTTTGTCTGGATATTTACAGCTCAAGACGTTGAAATAATTTAGTAGAATAATACCTGCGGCTAACAATTAATTATTTATAATCTCTTATAAAGGAAAAAATGTATTTGATAAGTTCCTTAAACAGAAATAATTGAAGTAGTAAGCAACAAAATCAATTTATTAGAGCAATAAACATAAAATGTTTGATAATAAGTGTTGAAACTTGTATTCTTTTTTGTTCATACAGGAATTAAAAATTATCAATTGCAGTGTGTGTCAATTGCATTGTGGTTTAAGAACTGACCAGTTTTGTAAAATCTTTATTTTTAAGAGGTTTCCATATTTTTTATTGTTAGTTGGATATTCATAATACATTTGCTAGAGTCAAAACTAATTGTTGTAACATTTACAAATTTTTAGAAAAAAATGGCATGCAATTCAGCCTTAAAATCAGCTCTACCGATTTGCATTATTCTGCCAAACCGGGTGTACATGGAAATTTATATAACGATTTATAGTTAAAATAACTATAATAGGGTAAAATACAGCATGACAACAAAGCATAAATTTAAATCATCACATTAATAAAAAAACAAAAACGATAAACCCAGACCTAAATAGGCGTCATTTACTGATTAAATTATATTATTCATTGCTACGGGTGAATATTGAAAGCCTCAAGTCGAATACCCATTTTGAATATTTAGCTAATAAAAAAATAATTGGGATTGTTCAAAAAATAAGTATTTTCAAAGATCGTAAGCTCGTTACCCTCACACTGTATGTTTTTCTGAACTCACTTATATAATTAGCGGTTGAAGATTTTCAAGTGATTCAATTCAAGTTCTGTGCCATCTTATTAGAAGTGAAGATTTTTCAGTTTTGACCGATTGAAAGTCTACACAGCCGTACAATGCCTTTAACTTTCGAAACAGTTGCGAATGAAAGTCTCAAAATCAACACGATTTGAGTCAATTCGATGAAAAATAAGGCTACTTAAATCGCCGTGTACAAAGAACGTATATTTATCTAAGCAATAAAAATCAAACAGCAAATGTATATTATTGAATAACCGTTGACTGATGTCTTCGCAGAACTCCAAACCTCTCATCGACTTCATTAAGTTTATCGTGTAAGGATCACATTTCCTTATTAATCTTTCTACATGTTTATCGTCAATTGTTCTATTTGGACGTAACTGATTCAATAAGCCGAGTATTTCCAACATATAATTTCAATAAAACGTGTTATTATTTCAAGTTTTTCTCGTATGAAGTATTTTAATGAAAATTTCAAAAAAAGTGTCACGTTGTACCTTGTTTATACAGCACTGGATCATTCTAGTGGGTAAGTGCATTAAAAAAAAATTGGTTGCTTGCTTTTGAACTTTTTCCGTAAATCTGTCTGGATAGTAATCAATAAAAGTGCGGCCGTTTTGTTCAATGTCTCAATGGTGTGATTTTGTTGTTTTTTATTTAAGGGACAGAATTTTCACTTTCAACCCCACCTGATTGAACGGTAGTTTTTATATTAACACTAATATATGAAAATAAAATGTTTAATTGGTCATTTGTGCATTTTTGTTGCAAGACTGATGCATTCATTCATCCGCTTTTACCGCTTGACAAATACTGTGAAGGACTCGAGTTTAAGAAAAAGGTGAAACAGATTGGACTAAAAAAAGCAAATGGAATTAAATCCGAGGTTTAGTGTGACATTTAGAATGCAATGTTGCTGAAATATTTTTAAAGTAAAATTACAAATATTTTGCTAAATAATTGAGTCATTAAACTAAATATGAAAGAATTGAATTTTGGCAAGCAATTGGCTTCATGTCATATTTCTCGCTCTAAAAAATTTTTATCTCCATTTAAAAAAATGTTGGTGATTTAAATTTTATTAACACACACTGTATTCAGAGCCATTCAAACCTGACCCCCAAGTAAATTATTGCTATAAAAAGAATGATGCAGCGCAATTATGATTGTCATTAAAATGGGCAACAGCAACTTTGAATCTAGACGAGCAATTTAAAAAAAATTGTAATCAAGCATTCCTGCCATTAACTCAGGTAGTAGACAGTAGAGCGAGTGTAATAAAATTAGTTTCTGTTCATAAATTTAATTGCTGATTCTTCTCAACTTTGTGCCAACGGAGTTTCGAGTATAATTTAGAAATTGCAAGTTTTCAGTTAGTAAACTGCAAGTTGAAAGATGTTTCGTGTAATACATTAAAAGTGAATTTATTTGGAAAGTACGTAACAAACATAATTCGAATAGCTGAATTTACTTATAGAAAGTAATGCTAAAGTGGTTATTATTACTTTATACCAGTTCTCGCATTATGCAAACTAAAACTAATATTTACTTTGACGAGATAGTAGCTTTTATCAGTTTATGTACTTCGAAGTAAAGTATCATTTGGTTAAGTTATTCAAAGCTCTGTTGCCCGGAATTCGGAGTAGAGAATATCTGCAAATAAATCAATATAAAGCCGGCATGAATTTGATCCTTTTGCCAGGGCGAAATGGCTTCATGCTTTTTTATTAAAATGGCGAAATCGAATTTCGCAT